CCGTGCAGTCCCTGGCTAGCAGTGCTGATTTTTAGGTTAATTCTTAGGTCCTGCCACCACAGGAGCTCTGGTAGCGCAGGGCCTAAGGCATTTGACTGCTAACCAGAGGGCTGGCGGTTCAAACCCACCAGCCACTCTTCGGAAGGAAGGTTGAGCAGTCTACTTCCATGGTGATATCGCCTCGGAAACCCAAGGAGGGTTCGCTGTGAGTTGGGTCTTACTCGGTGGCACGTAACAATAACACCTCCACTCAGGTATCTCCAAACTGTCTGCCATGCTGTCACGATCGCTCAGGATCGCTGCCAGACCGCAGCTTAGTCTGTCTCCTTTTTTGGTATTTTCATGCAAATTTTTCTGCTAGTTGGGGTTTAGTCCACTTCTATATCTTTCCCTTCAAGGCTTAGGCATCCAGGATTATCTTCTGTGTCTGTGTTAATTGTTTTCCCTTTTCTTTGTTGAAGAGGGTCTGTGCAGTCTTTCTGCCTAATCCGCCATCTTACCGGAACTTTAAGAGGTTTATTTTAAATAAAATTTTACATTGATTCTATGTAAATTGTGTTTACTTAATTTATTAACAAATGGTTAATCAGTTAATAGTGGTCCTAGTCTTATTTTAATTGGGAGCTCTGACAGTGTAGTGCCTAAGGCATTTGACTGCTAACCAGAAAGGTGGCAGTTCAAACCCACAAGCCACTCCTCGGAAGGAAGGTTGGGCAATCTATTTCCGGAAGGAAGGTTGGGCAATCTACTTCCGTAGTGATACTGCCTCGGAAACACAAGGAGGGGTCGCTATGAGTCGGGTCCGACTCCACGGCAATCGTTATTTTAATTAAGTCCCATTAATTTGATTATTATTATTATTTTATTGTGGAAAAAGTAAGGCCTAATTGTGGAATACTCTTTTAAAGTGTGAAACTCATTGCCATGGAGTTAACTCTTGACTCATGGAGACAAGGTGTGTCAGTAGAACCGTGTTCTGTAGGGTTTTCAGTGGATAATTTTTCAGAAGTAGTTCACCAGGCTTTTCTTCTGAGGCACCTGTGGGTGGACTCTTAACCTTCAACCTTCTGGTTAGCAGCCAAGTTTGTTAATAACCATGTGTACCTGTTGTGACTAAGGATTGTTCACCACAAATTTGAGTTAAAACTTACAAGTTCAAGAGTTAAAGGCAACAGAGGTAAAGAATACTACACACACAGTGCTGTAATAACAGTAATAACAAACTAAAAGTGGATACATTGATAGGTGTATCCTATCAAACTGAGCAGGAAAAGGAAGGTGGGTTGGGTACCCACGAATATACGTAGGTTTGGCAGAGGATATTTCTACCTATGTATTTATTTATATGTGCTGCAAATATATCCACAGATACAGTAGAGCATACAGGGGACAAAATTATGAAAACTTCTTAGTCATAACTAAATACCTTGAGGGAATGAGTCACTGGTCATGGGAGCTCAGGACCATAATCTCAGGGGACACTAAGGTCAGTTATCATAAAATAGTCCCCAAAAACAATGTTCTTTACATCCTTCTTTGGTGAGTAGTGAATGGGGTCTTAAAAGTTGAGCAGCCATCTAAGGTACAACTATTGGTGTCTTTCCATCTGGAGCAAAGCAGAGTGAAGAAAATCAAACACTCAAGGAAACAATCTGAAGGATTTATGGACCACATTAACCCCAGCCTCCATGACTCAGAGCAGAAGAACAAGATGTTGCCTGGCTACCAATCCTGACCTCTCTGAAAGGGACCGTGAGAGGAAGTCCTGGATAGAGGGGGAGACAAACATGCAATGGAACCCAAAATCATAAATTCTAGGCTTATAGGTTTGATAGAGACTAGTGAACTCCTGAGACTAAGGCCCTTAGAATACCCTTCAAGCCAGGAACTGAAGTCAACCACTGTGGCTAAACTATCAGCCACGCAGTAGACCAAAATGAACAGTGATACCAGGAGATCAAAAGGACACCATTCCCCAGGAATAAAGCTAAGAAGATAGGAAAGAAGAATGAAGGGAAATGATAAACATTAGGAAAAAGTAGAAAGAGTGCTTTTACATTGTGGGATTGCAATGAATGCCAGAAAATCGTATGAATTGTTGATAAACAATTTCCTTTGTAAACTTTCATCCAAATCACAAACCAAACCTTATGAATTCACAGGTCAGGGTTAAAGTGCAGAGAGTGTGGGTTTTCCCACAGTATACTTTCTCACAGTATACTTTCTCAACAGAGGAGCTAAAGAAAGGTCTATTTTGTGTCTTACTTTGTATGTGATCCTAGATCTGTTCCAGAAACTTCATAGAAAAATTTGACGTATTTTCAATGCTCTTTATTAACTGTATATTTTGGATCCTTTTCCCACGTAATGTCCCTATGATCATTACTAGGGTATTTATGCTTTCTTGCAAGTTCTACAGAGATTTCATTTTTCATAATTTTTTTTTCTTGAATTGATTTTATAATTTACTATTTTAAGGCTTACAATAACAGCACTAGGAGATAAGCTTAATGACTATTGGAATGAAATGAAAGTGAAGAAAAACTCAGAATATCCTCTAAATTTGCCAGTTGAAGATATACAGTAAGTAAATTAAAAAAACAACTCATTCTGATATAAAGATATAATATTAGAAGTTATAGTGATTGCCCGTTGTTTCACAATCTTTTTCCTGTAACGCATAGTAAGAAATAAATTCTGCAACCTGAACCAAGCTACCTGAAAATAAACAAATGAATATGTGTACACAAAAGGATTTCTAAAACAATATTTACTTATATATTTCATGTTGAAATAACTTACTTTCTTTTTTTAAAAATGCTAGTCTTGACCCATTAAATTAACTTCACATCCACTAATGGGTGGCATCCTATTGTTTGAGAAACACTGGTCGAGTGTAAAGGTTGGGATCATGCATCTGAAACCAGATTTATTCAGATTCTAGTTCTACTGCTTAAGTAGCTACGTGTCATTGAATATTACTTGGCCTTTGTAAGCTTCCATCTTCTCATGTGTAAAATGGGAACATTAGTTACTGTTACCTTCTACAGGTGTAAGAATTAAATACTTGATGTGTAGTGCCTGGCAAGCAAATAGTAATAATCCTATGAATGGATGGGTGGGTAGATAATACCTGTACATACTGATATGGAAAGACTGTCCACGGTATATAATGAAAAAAAAGATACAGTTACATATAAATATCCCATTGCATTTTTGAAAACTACCCATAAACTGATGCATAGTTTCACAAACCTAGACAATTTCTTTAAGGATTAAAGAAACCAAGTGTAACTTAAAAAACCAAACTCAGTGCCATCAAGTCAATATCTACTTTACATACTTCTGACTTGTTTGAATTTTTGTGTAAATTTATAAATACAGTGTTTTAAAAATGCTAAGTTTAAAAGTTACTGGGATTAAGGTGATGTCTTCTTATGTAAATGAATCTACATAAAGTCTTGATAGGATTATTGCAATTTTAAATAAAATTAGGAAAGGTATTTTTAATTTTACAATTTTTATAACATTTTATAGTTTACTTTTATAAACTAAAAGTGTATACAGCCATAGTTATTGGGAATCTGCTAAAATAGGGTAAAAATGATTATATAATTATAAAACATGCTTAAATTTTATTAATACAACTTCTTTGTTTTCTATATTTGGGTGTTTTATTGTGCTAATATACTAGCTTTGACATTACAGAAACTAAACTTGTTAAGGCATTTGGAGTATTTTTTTAAGTCGTTGAATTTTCATTATCACAGAACAAATTTAATACTATGCTAATATCTAAAGAGACTTAAATTGCTTTGCTGAAATTAGCTTGTTACAATTAACCTTTTGAAGGTAACTAATATTATTGTTTTTGAAACTTTGGATTGCCGTACAACAAAAATAGTTATGTCACAGAATTTTCAAGGAAGGAAATTTTAGGGATATCTTTTTGAAATAATGTAGGACAGTTAATAAATTACTTAGAACCCATATTCCCATGCTAATATTTTATTGTACTTGTTTTGTTATAGGAAACGTCCTGATCAGACTTGGGTTCAATGTGATTCCTGTCTAAAGTGGCGAAAATTACCAGATGGGATAGATCAGCTTCCTGAAAAATGGTATTGCTCCAATAACCCTGACCCACAGTTCAGGTACCATATAGTTGGTAGTACCCTTTTTGGAAAGGTGGTAAGTTCTTGTTCAAGAACAGGTGCTAGTGATGTGTTATTACCTTGTGATTTTTATGATTAGAAATTGTGATGTTCCAGAAGAACCTGAAGATGAGGATTTGGTGCATCCTACTTATGAAAAAACCTACAAAAAGAAGTAAGTGTTGAATTAGTATTGGGTGGGAAAATACTGTGTCTGCAGCATGAGTTGATGCTTTTCCAAGATAAAACTAATATGACTAGAAAAGATGACCTCTGGTGTGGATTTTTTTTTTTTTTTTCAGAGTAATTTATATGGTGGATACATTATCAATTTACCTGATGTGTATTTCTGGCTAATCTGTGAGATACTTTGAGTGCAGAGTAGTTCATCTCTATGGACTGTACACAGGTGAATTTTAGATGACCACTACCTTCGATGAGGAGCCCTGGTGGCTTAAAGGTTAAGTGCTTTACCGCTAACTGAAGGGTTGGCGGTTTGATCCCACCCAATGGCTCCATGGGAGAAAAACCTGGCAGTCTATTCACATAAAGATTATAGCCTCGAAAAACGTATGATAGTTGTGCTCTGTCACATGGGGTCACCATGATTTTAAATTGTCTTGATGGCACCTAACAACAGTGATATCCCTAGATGAGCTTATCATTTAACAAAGAAGGTGAAAGGTGATGAGTTCTTTATAAAAGCTATGATATAGTACTGTAGCAAAACTCATAAAGAGAGATTCCTTCTGATTGAGGGAAGGGGGAGAGAAGAATTAGATCAGGAAAATTCATGAAGGAGGTCATCTTTGCATTATGTCTCGAATGATGGGTGGATGAGAATTTACAGAGAATAGTGAGTTGTTCAGTGTAACTAAATATATGAATGATACAAATGGAAAATGAAGGTGAGGTAGTAAGTTGAGTAATGGTAATCAGCCATGGGGAATTTGGGGCATACTGTACATAGACGCCTGAATTCACTAAGATACATAAGGTTACTTTGAGTTGGTTTTGACTCCATGGCAACTAACAACAACAAATTCTTGAAGATAAATGTAGCAGCAAGATTACAAGTAAAGAAGCCAGTTAGAAACCTGTTGTGGTTTTTCAGTTCAGAGGTCAGAAAAATAGCTGTGGGTATGGAAAACTTTAGGCAGACATGAAGAAATTTTTGAGATAAAAGATGAAAGTATCCCTTGTTTAAAGACTTATTGTTGATTGTAATAAAATTGAAGCAAAGCTCCAGATTCTACTTACCTGAATAACTCAGCAGTAAACAGGCAGGTATATCATTAGAAAAGTAATAATGAAGTAAATAAAAATATGTTCATTTTTCATCTTTTCTTTAAAGAGACAAAGAAAAATTCAGGATCAGACAACCGGAAATAATTACTCGGGTAATTAAACCTTTCCTTTTATAGGTATGCCTTTTAATTGGTAGTGCATAGTTGAATAAATACTGAATTTTAAATCATGAGACTTATTAACAAATTGAAGGAATATTATTCATTTACTTTACATCTCTTTTCCTGTACACTTCCTTGCCCGCCTTCCCAACCCAACATGTTCATTCCAGCTGTTCAGTGTTAATATTTAGTTGTATATTTCTGAGGAAAGAAATATTCTTAAAATAATCTTGTGATAAGATAGGCAGTTAAGGAAAAATTCACAGGAACATCCAAGGAGCAATGCTCCAGCACTTATCTGGACAAAAGCAACAGTTTTTCTTCCCTGTTGACCACTGCTCTCACTGGCCTTTCCATTTCTGTGTAAATGCTTCGTAGTGTTAAAGAGCATGTGCTGAGTATATGAGTAGGTAATTGTACTTTTGGTGTAAGAAGTTTTGATCAGTTGCAGATGTGTCTTTTTGCTGGCAATTAATTACATTGAAATGTTTTCTTGTTTATTTTGATTTATAGGTAATATCTTTATAACTTTATTGTCAATCTCTTGCTTTTTTAAAAAAAATAAGCAAACCTTTCTGAAAGGACCAGACAGTGGATATTTTAGGCTTTGTGAATCATATACAGTCTCTGTTGGATATTCTTTGCTTTGTTTTTTCTTTGTTCTGTTTTTTTTTGTTCACGACTCTTAAAAAATGTAAAACCCCTGGCAGAGCACAAGGAATTTACGTCTTTAATATGGTTCTCAATGTTTTCTGGGATAAGGAGACAAGGGAGGATGATGCCTTGGGTATTGGCATATCACATTAAAGTAGATCCTTTAAGATCAGTTTTTCTTCCCCAGCAGATTAATGCTGAGCTGTTGTTTCGGCCAACCCCTGTTTCAAGTCAAAGCTTCTCTCCTGTGAAGGAAAGTGTTCCAAGAGGACATCTTTCAGAAGTGGCCAATACTTATACAGCAAGACTTATAAATAATAATCGAGTTTCGCCCCAGTCTGAACCTGAGAGCAATAGGTCAGTGGCTAAGATGTGTTTTTTCATTCTTGGGACTATTAAACAGAGCTTTTACTTGACGCTTTTGAGGAGTTAGCAGCTCTAGGAATTTTTAGCTTACATGAATGTAAGAAGGGTAAAGGGCAAGTTACTTTGCTTTTATTGTCTAAACTTAGCCCCACTTCTGTGATACGTTTAAATCAGTGCTTTAAAAATTGAATATTAATTATATTCATTATGGAATTTGATCAGATGATACGGTATGAAAACATCTACTTTTAACATGATGAATATCTAGGAGAAAAACATTAAGCAGTTAATAGTATAGCACTATGATACCAAATGTAACCTATAAATTTGTAACATACCGTATAGCACATCACAGGCAGTTAACTATATTTTAGATGAGTAGCTAGAGAAGGAAGAGAGAAAGAAAAGAAAGAGTGATACATGAATTGAATAGTTGGCCTTCTTGACTGGAATGTTTGGAGAAGACTTTGGGATGAGATGGTACTTAGGTTGGTTCCTGAATTTCTAAAATGAGACTCTGCGTAGGTGACCTATCCAAAGGAAATAGAGTAAGCAGAGGTGAAGAAGAATAACTAAGTATCTTAGTCTACCTTTGCTGTTTAGCCTTGTCTTAATTTGAGAGGTTGCCTGAGAAAAGAGTGCCTTCTATTTGGTAAAGTTGCCATAACTGATCAAAGCAGTGAAACCTGACAACATAAATGAAGATGATTTGTGATGAGTTTTGGAGCTTGGTCTCTTCTTCCTGGTGGAAGCTCTACATGTCCAGTTAGGACCGTCATTATCCTTTTGGCCAGTTTCCTAGTTATTAAGATTTCCCAGCTCAGATTTTTCTAGAAACTGTGTAAGTGAAGGTGTGAATCTCGCAGAAAAATAGACTAACCTTATGACTAGATTCCAGGGCTGGTTATTGATACAGATTGTTCATTATCTTCAAGGATGTGTGGACACTATTGAGAAGAATCTTCTAAAAGTTCTGTAATGGTGATACGAAGTAATTGCATTATTAACGTTAACCTTGAACTTGAAGGTTGATTATCTCTGAACCAGTGGCATTCAGTGATCTTTGATCTTACAGTAAAAATACATTTTTATGTCCTGTATGACCTAAACCTAGTGCACATATGTAAACATGTGGTATGTGGAAAAACGTTGGGAAAAATGTTTCACAAAATCATATCCCTGGTGTCTGTGACACAACCTTGCTGTATGCTACACATGTCATATATTCCAATAATTTATATTCCATAAAATATTGTGGACCTGTTGATTGACTCAAAAACCATTATATGTTTATATATGGAAGTTGAGAAACCCTGTTGTAGACCTCAGCTGTGCGTGATATGATAGCCTGTGGTCATATTTGTGGTTATTTTAATTAATTAACATCAAATTAAAAATTAAACCATTCAATTACACTAGCCACCTTTCAGGTGTTAATAGTCATGTGTCTAGTGACTATTGGATAATGCAGAGGTAAAACATTTCCATCATTGTGGTACATTCATTGGACAGCATTGTTCTAGACCTTTGCTTCTAGTTTCTGTTCAGAAAGACTGATTTAAGGCTGTAGCCTGGAACAACAGATCTAGGAATTCTTTTGTAGTTTCATTTTCTGTGTTAAATGCATTGTTTCGAGAGATTTTGTAGCTTTCGTCAAATTCTCAGAAAAGATTAGGAATAAATGCTTTTATGCATATATAAATCAAGGAGGCATATTACAAAATAGTTTATTTATATCCTATATTTTCAACTCTGCTCACTGCTGTTGAGTCCGACTCATAGCAACCCCTCCTTGGGTTTCTGAGGCGGTATCTGTATGGAAGTAGATTGCCCACTCTTCCTTCCGAGGATTGGCTGGTGGGTTTGAACTGCTGCTTTTTGGTTAGCATTCAAATGCCTTAGGCACTATGCTGCCAAAGCTCCCTATCCTACATTTTAGGGGCCCATTTTGGGGCTAGATTGCTGTTTGACTAAGAACTTGTGTTATTTTTACTGATCTCCTTAATATTCTTGTTTCTCTCAAGATGGTTCAATAGATTATAGATACAAGATACAGGGAATTGATTTTAAAAGCAATTACTATCCAAATGAAAAAAGAATAAAGAGAAAAAATTCATTAAATAATTTATAAAGCATTTATTTATTCTCAAATTTGTAATGCTAAAGTCTGTGGAAAGGTGATACCAAAATTAAGTCTTAAGAAAGATACACAGAAATTAGCCTGGTAAGAAGAAGAATAAGGACATTTTGAATGAAACAGCAGAATATGTAAACAAAAGGTAATTTATAGCACATCAAACCAAAACCAAACCCACTGCCATCGAATTGATTCTGACTCATAGCGACCCCCTTTGGGTTTACGAGCCAGTAAATCTTTGTAGAAGTAGGTTGCCCAATCTTTCTTCCGAGGAGTGGCTGGTGGGTTTGAACCGCCAGCCTTCTGGTTAGCAGTCACATGCCTTAGGCACTGTGCCACCAGAGCTCCTTATAGCACATCAGAGAAAGCTGGAACCCAAGTCTGTGGAAAGGTGACTTGAAGAAGCAAACTAACTAACTCTACAGATCTGAGAAGGCCTCGGTACTTGGAAGCATTGGGTACTTCTGAAGGTGGAGGATAGGGATGAAAGTAGGAGACTTGCTTTAAGGAAGAGTAGTAGTTCCCTAAATTTTGTCTCAACCTGCAAAGTCCAGCAACTGCTTATTCTCTTTCTTTGTCAAAAGATTGAAAGTTCACTTTCTGGAACAATTTTTGTGGCTGAGATGGGGTAAACTACTGTTTTGAAAATTGGAGGAGTAAGGGAAAGTTTGAATACTGAATGGTGAGAGACCCCCACTTCTTTTATTTACTAGGATCCCATACCACTAGCTGTCAGATTTATAATCTATCTCTATACCTTCTCTCATAAGAGATTGAAAGATTCTCCTTAGGAAAACAACTGGACCAAGAGAAAATCTCTAGATAATGACTCTTGAATCAGAAGCTCAGCCCTCTCACAGCTTCCAGTCAGTTTCACTCTTAAAAACAGCCAAGGATTTCCAGGTGTATAATCTCTAATATTGGGTAGCAAACAAACAGAGAGGGTAGAAGAAAATACGAAATTCGTTGCAGATTGGGTGAAAGTTAAATAAATTTATGGGAAAACAAAAAGATTAAGAGTTGGACAATGGAGAAAAGCACAGTATCAGTATAGCAGGGCCAAAATCTGAACACTTTTGAATGAAGGGAATTTCAGAATGAGAAATGAAAAAACAAAGGGGAGGAAACAATCTAAGAAGGACTGAATTTCCACTAAATACAGACAACCAAAAACCAAACCAAACCAAACTCACTGCCTTTGTGTTGATTTCGACTCATATTGACCCCCACTGGGTTTCCGAGGCTGTAAATCTTTATGGATCATCATATCTTCTTTCCATGGAGTGGCTGGTAGGTTTGAACTGCTGACCTTGTTAGCAGCCAAATGCCTTATCCACTACACCACAAGAGCTTCTTAAATTACAGACATAATGTGTGCCAAAAGATCCATACTAAGGCACATCATAATTTTTTTTTTTTTTTTTTTTAAACACTAGGGGAAAAGAAGGTACTAAAGATTGCAGAGAAAAAAAAAAAAAAAAAAAACTCTACTTCCCTGTTCAAGATCGGAATCAAAATGGCAGAAATACTCATTGATGGATGAAAAGTTATCAAACGTGATTGGAATATGAAAGTTGGAAACAAAGAAGAAAGATCAGTAGTTGGAAAATATGGCCTTGGTGACAGGAATGATGCCGGAGATGGCATGATAGACTATTGAAAGGCCAATGACTTAATCATTGGAGATACCTTTTCTTGACAACATAAACTATGACTATACACAACGGACCTCACTGGGTGAAGTACACAGGAATCATATCAGTTACATCTTTGGAAAGAGACAATGGAGAAACTCATTATCATCAATCAGATGACTGGGGAACAGACCATTAATTGCTCCTGTTCAGTTTGGTCATGTTGTCAGAAGAGACCAGTCCCTGGGGGAAGATATCATACTAGGTAAAGAAGAGGGTTCAGTGAAAAAGGGGAAGACTCTGAATGAGATGGATTGACACAGTAGCTGCAATGATGGGCTCAAGCATAGTAATGCTTGTGAGGATGGAGGAGGACTGAGTAGTATTTTGTTCTGTCGTACATAGGGTGACTATGAGTTAGAACTGATTCACTGTCACTTAATAACAAGAACATGAAAGTCAAGTTGAAGCTGAGGAAAATTATAAGTCCACAAGAGCCAGAATATGACCTTGAGTATATCTTAACTAAATTTAGAGACCATCTCAAGAATAGATTACACGCATTTAAAACTAATGATTGAACATTTGATGATTTATGGGAAGATATCAAGGGCATCATAGGTGAAGAAACCAAAAGGTCATTAAATGGAGTGGAAAGGAAGAAAAGACCAAAATGGATGTGAGAAGAGATTCTGAAACTTGTTCTTTAATGTAGGGTAGCTAAAGCAAATGAAAGAAATGATACAAAAAGCTGAATAGAAATTTCAGAGGGCAGCTCAGGAAGATAAAATATTATAGTGAAATGGGCAAAGACCTGGAGTTAGAAAACCAGAAACGAGCATACCCTCCACAGTTCTCAAACCGAAAAAATGAAAGAAACAATTCAAGCCTCTAGATGCAAAGCTGAAGGATTCTATGGACAAAATACTGTATGATGAAGGTAGCATCCAAAGAAGATGGAAAGAATACACAGTTACTGTACCAAAAGGAATTGATAGATGTTTAACCATTTCAGGAGGTAGCATATGATCAAGAACTGATGTTCTAAAGGAAAAAGTCCAAGGTGCACTGAAGGAAAGCATTGGCGAAAAACGAGGCTCTAGGAATTGATAGAATACCAATTGAGGTGTTTCAACAAGCAGATGTAATCCATGTAATGTAATCTATCGATGACAAGAAATTTGGAAGACAGCTACCTGACCAGTTATCTAGAAAATATA